GGGTGAGTGAGTTTAGTTTTACGCCGCACTCAGCAATATTCCAGCTATATGGCGGCGGTCTGTAAATAATCGAGTCTGGACCAGACAATCCAGTGATCAACAGCATCAGCATCGATCTGCGCAATTGGGAACCGATGACATGTCAACCAAGTCAGCGAGCCTGACCTCCCGATCCCCCTCTTGCGACAAGAATGGGTTACTGAAGATCAATATTCTAACCCGGACCTTCACTGGTTAGTGGTAAAAATTGTTGGGATTGAAAGAAAACAAAGTCAATGTACATCTTTTGTATATTTTTGCCTTACAATCCTAGCATAATTAATATATTATTATATATTTATGTTCTCTGGAACTTCATAAAAAATGTACATGATCTATGTTTAGTGAATTTATAAATGACTGTAATATCTAGACATTTTATCTATTGCAATTCACATTGTACATGCGTCTCCATAAAAATCATCAACGCCCATCACCCCCCTGGCCATAAATTATGAACGGACCCTTGTAGTCCCGGGAGTAACGGAAAGATGGTACGAAGTGACTCAGTATGGAGGCATGTATGCATTTCCTGACTCATGTTTCCGGGTTAGTGGCAGCGGACAGTCCGCTGCTTCTCCATGGTTAGTGAAAATGGGTTTATCATCGTGTTCATGATTATTGCCGTGTGGTGTGTAGATACGTACATATGCGCGTCTGACTAATGTCGGTTTTATAGTGCCAGTCGGATTACATACCATTTATTGGAGTTGGTTATTAATTTCTGAAATGATTAATAAAGTCAGTGACAACAGGCAAGAAATCGGCTGCATATATTACCCTTGAGTCACCTTTTACGACCCCAATTTTACATCGTATGGGCGGGAAATAGACGCCCAGTCTATCCTAGACCGACATCTGTGAACCCAGAAGATTCTTTAAGTGTCTTTAGATTGGTTGGTTGGTTGTTTAATGCCGCATTCAGCAATATCCCAGCGGTCTGTAAATAATCGAGTCTGGAACAGACAATCCAGTGATCAGCAGCATGAGCATCGATCTACGCAATTGGGATACGATGACACGTGTCAATCAAGTCAGCGAGCCTGACCACCCGATCCCGTTAGTCGCCTCTTACAGCATGGGCAACTAAGGATCAATTCTAACTCGGATCTTCACGGGTCTAAGTGGCTTTAGACGCTAGTAGGATGAAGAGGAAAAAAAATGTATGGATTGACAACTTCTTTACTGCAACGTGTCTGTGTAGATGCTAACACCGTTTTCAAGCAAGGGATACACACCATTATGGTGAGGTGAGGTGAAATTGGGTTTTACGTCGTGCTTGAGAATATTTCGCTCATATGACGACGTGCATGCGTGTGTATGTGTATGTGCGGCTGCTTGTACTAGCCCATACTTAAGCTGGTTTTATAGTGCTAGCCCACTGAGATACCATGCCGCAGTGAAGCATGAATACCCCACTCAGACACATTATACTGACTCCGAGCCGACCAGTCCTTGTACCCATTAATGCCGAGCGCCAGGCAGGGACCAACAAGTACCATATTTTAACGTCTTTGGTATGACGCGGTCGGGGATCGAACCCGCGACCTTCCGCTCTCCGGGCGGACGCTCTAACCACTACCCAACGGAGGCGGTCACACCATTATGGACATGGAGATTTGAGTTCACACAACTGACGAGGTGGATGTACAGCCTGATGACCTTACTAATAGCTGTTGTGAGATTATAGATAAGGGCTATGAAACCAGGTGGACAAAGCATAGGGTTAAACTATTGATTCGCCTTGATTAGATGATGTAAGCTGTAGGAATGTGCCGTAATGTTGGTGGAATATTGCTAAAAGCGGCGTAGAACCATACTCACTCACTGTAGGAGCTTGATCTCTGTTGATTGCAGGGTTGAGGCACTTGTTGTTGATTGCCTCTAAGAGTTTTCTTGATAGTCTGACCTGTTGGTTTGAAGGATGTTGATGTTGTTCCAAAGGATCGTATGATTCGGGTGGACTTGGTGTGGTCGGAAATGTATGTAGGAATCAAATGTTACCACAGAATGGCTAGATGAATAAAAAAGTGATAACCAAAGAAATTCAGTAATTGGCAGTCGTTGTTTTGTCATTTTTGTCGTTGTCTTATATGTTTGCTTTTTTTGTTGTTGTTTATTTGTTCTTGCTTCCTTTTTTTTTGGGGGGGGGGGGCTTTTGGGTCAGGAGGGTGTATGTGAATGAGAGAGCAAGAGCGTGTGTGTGTGTGTGGTAGTCGTCTTTTGTGATTTTCGTGTGTTTTGTTTGTGTGTGCCCATACACTACTCTGACCCCAGGTACTTCTGGTTTTGTCCCTTTAAGGCTGACTAAGTTTCCAGTACAGAGTTAATGGCCCTAAAAATCTGGGTGATTTAGCTGACTGCATACCACAGCATTCTACACAGCAGCCGTCAAATAGTTGAAATGTTGCTGAGTGTGGCTCCAAGTAACCCAGCGAAAAGGAAACAAACGTGCGACTTGAGGGTCCTAATATGAGGAACCTTTAAATCAGCTCCTAACATAAGCGTTAACCATTCCATCAAATATCCATGAGCTGAAATACAGGTACGTCATGATATTCAGATGTTACGAGTAGAATCTTAAATTTTACGATAGATGTCAATGGAAAAGGAATCTCGGCGTAAGACCCAACCCAACTCACTATCTCGAAGACCGCCTCCGTGGTGTAGTGGTTAGAACGTCCGCCCGGAGAGCGGAAGGTCGCGGGTTCGATCCCCGACCGCGTCATATCAAAAGACGTTAAAATATGGTACTTGTTGGTCCCTGTCTGACGCTCGGCATTAATGGGTACAACAAGGACTTGTCGGCTCGGAGTCAGTATAATGTGTCTGAGTTGGGTATTCATGCTTCACTGCGGCATGGTATCTCAGTGGGCTAGCACTATAAAACCAGCTTCAGTCTGGGTTAGTACAAGCAGCCGCACATACACATACACATGCATGCACGTCGTCATATGAGCGAAATATTCTCAAGCACGACGTAAAACCCAATTCCACCACCACCACTCACTCGAAGTTTTACTGGCTGATTCTACCGTATCTACAAACCATTCATGCAATGGGCAGGGTGCACAATGTGTTAATATATTGTTAATTAATGTAAATAAATATCATTAATTACATGTATTCTTTATGCCCCACAATGTGGCGCATATGTACGTGCTGCTATGTGTTAGTGCTTCACGTATAATACATGTTTCTTTATTTATAATTCTTGTTAATTTATTTGAATGACGGAACATGATATTCTGTGTTTGACAAAACTCAATGTCGATACTGACGAACGAGCGTTTAAATGTGTTAATACACGACTGAGCTATGTATGGATGTGTCATTGTCATGGTGGGTTGTTTCGGAATAGACACATGATACAACAGCCTTGAGTGATTCCAAAACTAACGGGACTTTCTGCTATTAAATCATTTCAATAAAACCAGCCATGGTAAGTTTATACCTCCTCTGACTCAACTGGTGCCTGGTCGTGTTTCACTGGACTGATGTATGGTGTGTTATAGTGACATTTCATGTCCGCAAATAACATCCATCATCACCTGGCAATCAGGGTCTTCACACCTCTCATGACAAAGCCACCCGTGAAGATCCAGGTTAATCATGATATAGCAACCCGTGAAGATCCAGGTTAAAATTGATCTTCAGTAGCCCATGCTTGTCGTAAGAGGCGACTAACAGGATCGGGTGGTCAGGCTCGCTCATTTGGTTGATACATGTCATCGTATCCCAATTGCGTAGATCGATGCTCATGCTGTTGATCACTGGATTGTCCGGTCCAGACCCGATTATTTACAGACCGCCGCCATATAGCTGGAATCATGCTGAGTGCGGCGTTAAACAACAAACCAACCAACCACATCTCTCCTGACGAAGCATTGTGTCACTATGACGAGATGACTATACCAGGTGTCGATGCCAGTCAGGGACGTTTCATCTACCGAGTCAGTGCACACAGTAGATAGCACAATGGATTATACTTCATACCCCAAGAGGCAGATTGACTGGCATATTGCTCCACTGCAACACTACAAAAGTCTATTGGATCACATTCAGGTGCACGGCAATGACCGTGTTTCCAAGCACAATATCAACAGCTTCACCCAAATGGACCATTAAGCCTTATTTGGTAAACAAAATCAGACCATATTCTTTGCGCAGTTACTATTTTCCGTAAGTATACAACCACACCATAAACATTCAGAGTGAATGTATCAGTATCCACCATGTTTATGGCATGGAACACACACCTTCATATTCAGATATATATCAGTTGATTTATCATCAGATATGTATATTAACATATCTACATGTTACTTGTAATGTTAAGACCCTCTTGAGTTACAGTATGGCGCACAGGCATTGATCTATTAAATTCAACGGAAAATTTTCAACCGCCTGCAAGGGCTTTGTCAACAGCCTGCTATGGTTGCCATCAATAGGTCCACAAATGAATTGACCTGAATGTTTGAAGATGGTGCATGTTGGCAGCTTCTCTTTCAACTTGTAATATCTTAGAAAAAGTCAGTGCATCTAAACATAAACGTTTTCTTGTTCCATCCAATTTCCACAATCATCATTGGGGGCTCTTCCTAGATTCTCACAAACTCCTGCTTGTATTTATTTCGGAAAGTCAATAATAGGTTTCTTTCCTTTAAATATCTCTTCTCGATATCCTTTGGCTGAGACTTTTGAAAACACGCACGCATGCACGCATGCACGCACACACCTGTTATATGATTTGTGGCAGGGTATACAATGTCAGCATTCACTTAAATTGTTTTGTGCAAGGAGACCTCGGTGACCATCAAACATTAATGCCAACTGACTGAGACTTTGTTTTTCACTAGTTCTATCTTGAGGTAAGACATCTTCCAGGTCCACGATTCCATCTATCCGCTTAGGGTGTCCTATGGATAGACAATACACCAGCACACAGACAAGGAACACCATTTACTTGAGTGAACATTTCATTGATTTCTGAGACATCATACACTATATACAAAACAGAAGCAGATTGTTTATATTAGTGAGATGTACAATGACCATGCTGCTGATCCGCTTGTCTTACACAGGACCAGTTCTTACACAGGACCAGTTCTTACACAGGACCAGGTCTTACACAGGACCAGGTCTTACACAGGATCAAGTCTTACACAGGACCAGGTCTTTCACAGTACCAGGTCTTACACAGGGCCTGGTCTTACACAGGGCCTGGTCTTACACAGTACCAACTCTTTCACAGTACCAGGTCTTACACAGGACCAGTTCTTACACAGGACCAGGTCTTACACAGTCTTACACAGGACCAGTTCTTACACAGGACCAGGTCTTACACAGGACCACCAGGTCTTTCACAGGACCAGTTCTTACACAGGACCTTACACAGGACCAGGTCTTACACAGGACCAGTTCTTACACAGGACCAGGTCTTACACAGGACCAGGTCTTTTCACAGGACCAGGTCTTACACAGGACCAGGTCTTACACAGGATCAAGTCTTTCACACTTTACACAGACCAGGTCTTACACAGGACCAGGTCTTACACAGGACCAGGTCTTACATTGGACCAGTTCTTACACAGGACCGGACCTCAGTTCTACACAGGACCAGGTCTTACACAGGACCAGTTCTTACATTGTACCAGGTCTTACAGGACCAGTTCTTACACAGGACCAGTTCTTACACAGGACCTGGTCTTACACAGTACCAGTTCTTACACAGGACCAGTTCTTACATAGGACCAGGGTCTTACACAGGACCAGTTCTTACACAGGACCAGGACCAGTTCTTACACAGGACCAGTTCTTACACAGGACCAGGTCTTACACAGGACCAGGTCTTACACAGGACCAGGTCTTACACAGGACCAGGTCTTACACAGGACCAGGTCTTACACAGGACCAGGTCTTACACAGGATCAAGTCTTACACAGGACCAGTTCTGGCACAGGACCAGTTCTTACACAGGGCCTGGTCTTACACAGGACCAGGTCTTACACAGGACCAGTTCTTACACAGGACCAGTTCTTACACAGGGCCTGGTCTTACACAGTACCAACTCTTTCACAGTACCAGGTCTTACACAGGACCAGGTCTTACACAGGACCAGGTCTTACACAGGACCAGTTCTTACACAGGACCTGGTCTTACACAGTACCAACTCTTTCACAGTACCAGGTCTTACACAGGACCAGGTCTTACACAGGATCAAGTCTTACACGGGACCAGTTCTTACACAGGACCTGGTCTTTACACAGTACCAACTCTTTCACAGGGACCAGGTACCAGGTCTTACACAGGACCAGGTCTTACACAGGACCAGGTCTTACACAGGATCAAGTCTTTCACGGGACCAGGTCTTACACAGGATCAAGTCTTTCACAGGACCAGGACTTAAACAGGGTCAGGTCTTTCACAGGTCAAGTCTTACACAGGACTAGGTCTTACACAGGATCAAGTCTTTCACAGGACCAGGACTTAAACAGGGTCAGGTCTTTCACAGGTCAAGTCTTACACAGGACTAGGACTTACACAGGATCAAATCTTACACAGGACCAGGTCTTACACAGGACCAGGTCTTACACAGGATCAATTCTTACACAGGACCAATTCTTACACAGGACCAAGTCTTACAAAGGACCTGGTGTTGCACAGGACCTGGTCTTACACAGTACCAGGTCTTACACAGGACCAAGTCTTACACAGGACCAGGTCTTACACAGGATCAGGTCTGATATTGTTGGTTGACCATGACACGCTGCCTGGAATTGTTGGTTGACCACGACACATGTTGCCTGGAATTGTTGGTTGACCAGGACACATGTTGCCTGGAATTGTCGGTTGACCACGACACATGTTGCCTGGAATTGTTGGTTGACCAGGACACATGTTGCCTGGAATTGTTGGTTGACCACGACACACTGCCTGACATTGAAGGTAGATCGGTGGGCTTTAAGCCATGATGTTTTTCATGTGTTCATAGCCTGCTCTGATGAGGTACTGGAACTGGGAGTTGTGTCTGCAGGCTCCGAGCTCCTCGCTGGACAGGATCACTTCCTGGGAGGGCAGTACATCTTCCAGCTCTCCTCCTGCAACACACACATCTCACGTACAATATCATATCTCACACACCCCTTGGGGGTGAACCTCTGCACAGCTCTGTGCCTTAACAAGCAGACTGACACATTCAGCCAAGTCACATTGTCTTGATTACTGAAATTCTCTCAGGAAGCATGTTAGGTGTATCTAAAAGGTTATTATTATTGTTATTGGATATTTATATAGCGCACATATCCACGCACTAGTGCATGCTCAAGGCATTGGTACTTTTACCCTCAATCAATGGATGTCAATCTCAACAACACATCTTATTATCAATCTCAACTCCCTAGGGAGAATTCAACTCTTGCTGCCACAAGGCGCACCGAGTTATTGTGGTTTTCCCATCCTTACGAGGTACCGATTCACAGCTGGGTGGACTGGGACACATAATCATAGTACTTTGTCCAAGCTTACTGCACGTTGCTGTACCCTCAACTAGGTGTTTTATTCATATACCAACGGTTAGAGGGAAGATAATTTGGAAGATAAAGTATAACAATTCGTGGAGATGTCAGTTAATATCCACATCTGTGTATAGACAAATGAACCCAGAATTGCTATTCTCCTCTTCTTCCACCAGCAAGAAAAGGGCCATAAGTGCAATAGCACAGGGAGACAAGATCACCAGCACTAGCACAGGAAGACAACAAAACTAGCACTAGCACAGGGAGACAAGATCACCAGCACTAGCACAGGGAGACAAGATCACCAGCACTAGCACAGGGAGACAAGATCACCAGCACTAGCACAGGGAGACAAGATCACCAGCACTAGGGAGACACACTAGGGAGACAAGATCACCAGCACTAGCACAGGGAGACAAGATCACCAGCACTAGCACAGGAAGACACCAGCACTAGCACAGGGAGACAAGATCACCAGCACTAGCACAGGGAGACAAGATCACCAGCACTAGCACAGGGAGACAAGATCACCAGCACTAGCACAGGAAGACAAGATCACCAGCTAGCACAGGGAGACAAGATCACCAGCACTAGCACAGGGAGACAAGATCACCAGCACTAGCACAGGAGACAAGATCACTAGCACTAGCACAGGGAGACAAGATCACCAGCACTAGCACAGGGAGACAAGATCACTAGCACAGGAAGACAAGATCACTATCACAAGATCACCAGCACTAGCACAGGGAGACAAGATCACTAGCACAGGGAGACAAGATCACCAGCACTAGCACAGGGAGACAAGATCACTAGCACAGGGAGACAAGATCACTAGCACTAGCACAGGAGAGACAAGATCACCAGCACTAGCACAGGAAGACAAGATCACCAGCACAGCACAGGGGAGACAAGATCACCAGCACTAGCACAGGGAGACAAGATCACCAGCACTAGCACAGGCTCTAGCACAGAGACAAGATCACCAGCACTAGCACAGGGAGACAAGATCACCAGCACTAAGCACAGGGAGACAAGATCACTAGAGACACTAGCACAGGAAGACAAGATCACCAGCACTAGCACAGGGAGACAAGATCACCAGCACAGGGGAGACAAGATCTAGCACAGGGAGACAAGATCACCAGCACTAGCACAGGAGACAAGATCACCAGCAGAGACAAGATCACAGGGAGACAAGATCACCAGCTCTAGCACAGGGAGACAAGATCACCAGCACTAGATCACCAGCACTAGCACAGGGGAGACAAGATCACCAGCACTAGCACGGGAGACAAGATCACCAGCACTAGCACAGGGAGGAAGACAAGATCACCAGCACTAGCACAGGGAGACAAGATCACCAGCACTAGCACAGGGAGACAAGATCACCAGCTCTAGCACAGGGAGACAAGATCACCAGCACTAGCACAGGGAGACAAGATCACCAGCACTAGCACAGGGAGACAAGATCACCAGCACTAGCACAGGGAGACAAGATCACCAGCACTAGCACAGGGAGACAAGATCACCAGCACTAAGATCACCAGCAGCACAGGGAGACAAGATCACCAGCACTAGCACAGGGAGACAAGATCACCAGCACTAGCACAGGGAGACAAGATCACCAGCACTAGCACAGGGAGACAAGATCACCAGCACTAGCACAGGGAGACAAGATCACCAGCACTAGCACAGGGAGACAAGATCACCAGCCAGCACCAGCACTAGCACAGGGAGACAAGATCACCAGCCTCAGCACTAGCACAGGGAGACAAGATCACCAGCTCTAGCACAGGGGAGACAAGATCACCACCAGCACTAGCACAGGGAGAGACAAGATCACCAGCACTAGCACAGGGAGACAAGATCACCAGCACTAGCACAGGGAGACAAGATCACCAGCACTAGCACAGGGAGACAAGATCACCAGCACTAGCACAGGGAGACAAGATCACCAGCACTAGCACAGGGAGACAAGATCACCAGCACTAGCACAGGCAGACAAGATCACCAGCACTAGCACAGGCACAGACAAGATCACCAGCACTAGCACCAGCACCAGCTCTAGCACAGGGAGACAAGATCACCAGCACTAGCACAGGAGACAAGATCACCAGCACTAGCACAGGGGAGACAAGATCACCAGCACTAGCACAGGAGACAAGATCACCAGCAGCACAGGGGAGATCACCAGCACACCAGCTCTAGCACAGGGAGACAAGATCACCAGCACTAGCACAGGGAGACAAGATCACCAGCACTAGCACAGGGAGACAAGATCACCAGCTCTAGCACAGGGAGACAAGATCACCAGCACTAGCACAGGCAGACAAGATCACCAGCAGCACAGGGAGACAAGATCACCAGCACTCAGCACTAGCACAGGGAGACAAGATCACCAGCACTAGCACAGGGAGACAAGATCACCAGCACTAGCACAGGGAGACAAGATCACCAGCACTAGCACAGGGAGACAAGATCACCAGCACTAGCACAGGCAGACAAGATCACCAGCACTAGCACAGGGAGACAAGATCACCAGCACTAGCACAGGGAGACAAGATCACCAGCACTAGCACAGGGAGACAAGATCACCAGCTCTAGCACAGGCAGACACCAGCACTAGCACAGGCAGACAAGATCACCAGCACTAGCACAGGGAGACAAGATCACCAGCACTAGCACAGGGAGACAAGATCACCAGCACTAGCACAGGGAGACAAGATCACCAGCACTAGCACAGGGAGACAAGATCACCAGCACTAGCACAGGGAGACAAGATCACCAGCACTAGCACAGGGGAGACAAGAGCACCAAGATCACCAGCACTAGCACAGGGAGACAAGATCACCAGCACTAGCACAGGGCAGAGGAGAGATCACCAGCACTAGCACAGGGAGACAAGATCACCAGCACTAGCACAGGGAGACAAGATCACCAGCACTAGCACAGGGCTCTAGCACAGGCAGACAAGATCACCAGCACTAGCACAGGCAGACAAGATCACCAGCTCTAGCACAGGGAGACAAGATCACCAGCACTAGCACAGGGAGACAAGATCACCAGCTCTAGCACAGGGAGACAAGATCACCAGCTCTAGCACAGGGAGACAAGATCACCAGCACTAGCACAGGGAGACAAGATCACCATCACTATCAGAGAGAGAGACAAACACAATAGCATTAGCACAGGGAACCAGAGTCAACAGCAATAGCAAAGGAAGCCATGTCACCAGCACTGGGATAGGTCTAGAAGGTCAGCACACCAGACAGTGTGTATAGACCACTTGTACAGATCAATTCTGGGGATTCAGTGTTACATGGACTTACCTTCTGTGTATGCAAGATCGATGGTCTTGAAGAACACTGTCTCCCGGATGATGTCCAGCGGGTCACCATCTGCCGGGTTGGTCCAGCTGCCAAACACAAACACCAGTTTGTTGAGTCACTGCTATAGGAGGTCTGGCTATGGACCCTCATCACACAGCCGCCAACTGGCCCAATTTACACGTAGTATTTTGCTACAAATGATCTGGTCAGGACACCAACATGTGATGACACTGTTGACATAAGTTGATAATTTTACACCTTAGTTTTAGTCTAGTACAACATGTGGTTGGTTTGTTACTAATGCCGCACTCAGCAATGTCAACAGCAGTCTGTAAATAATTGAGTCTGGACCTGACAATCCAGTGATCAACAGCATGAGCATTGATCTATGCAAATGGGATGCGATGTCAACCAAGTCAGTGAGCCTGACCAGCCCATCCTGTTAGTCGCCTCTTATGACAAGCAGGGATTGCTGAAGACCAATTCTAACCCGGTATCTACTACAGGAACTTCCAACAAGTGGAGTTATTCGACTGGATAGATGCAGCACTATATATACCCGTTGTTAAACAACACAAGCTTATATTCTACAGGAAGATTAATGATTACCCTCTCTGTTTTGGAGGCTCTCAACATTTAGTCATTGCAATATATTTTCCATAGATTGGCATATCATATTTGCTTTTTTAAGTTGTAAATTCGTAAGAAATATGAACAATTCAGGCTAGTCTGCTGATATCAACAACCACAGTATATTTGACCATCCGGTCCAGTTGAGGACTTTTTCTTTGGTCATAACTAAAAAACTTCAAACTCAGTCAAAAGATAAATAACAAACTCAAATTTAGGTAAAGTTGCCCTTGAAAAAAATCAAAATAATTACTTTGATTTCTACTACTTTATTCCTGGCTACTTGTGCCTCAAAAGCAAAAGATGTACCATTCATACTTACTTGTCTCTTAAAATGGCGCGACACCAGATGTGTAGTTTGAGGTCCTCTAAGTCTGCACCTCCATCTGCCTGAAACGGACAAAAGTATTCCACATACTCATGTGGGGTAGCTATTTTGGGACAGACAATGACAGATCCAACAAGATCATGGAGGTGACACAAGGGCCTGGAACTTTCGGGATAGACAATGGAACATTCCCCACTCACACAGACTGAGGATACCTACAGGGTGCTACTTGGGGCAAAGACAGGGGCAAAGACAATGGCAATGTCATGGAGATAGAGTCCTACTTGGGGCAAGGAAACAGCACATCACAAGGACACACTGATGGAGGTGATTCGGGAATGCTACTTTCAATAAGAACATTACTATCAACATGACATTGTTGCCACTGACCACGTGCTACTCACTTTATCAATATACTGCAGGAGGTCCAGGGCCTTCTTGAAGTCATACTCTGAAGCCATCTTGTTCTTGTTCCCGACATACAGCTGAAACATTCGGCCATGTGTGAAGAATGAAGATAAACTAAATACTGTGGTTAGATTTGAGGGAAAAGTTACAGGTACGCCAGCAATAAATATGGCGACAGTCTGTAACTAGTCGAGTCTAGACTAGACAATCCAGTGATCAACAGCATGAACATCAATCTCAGCAATTGGGAAATGATGACATGCATCAACCAGGTAAGTGAGCCTGACCACCGGATATTGTTAGTTGCCTCACACGACAAGCATGCCTGTTACTTGAAACACAGATGGTTTATGTCTTAACTGATTAAGTCAACAAAATATGGATGGACAGACAGATGGATTGCTTGCTTGATTGATTGGTGTTTAGAACTGCACTCAGCAATATTCCAGCTATAAGGCGGCGGTCTGTAAATAATCAAGTCTGAACCAGACAATCCGGAGATCAACAGCATGAGCATCAATTTAGGCAATTGGGAATGACATGTATCAACCAGGTCAGCAAATCTGACCACCCGATCCTGTTAGTCACCTCTTACGACCAGCATGGGTTACTGAAGTCCAATTCTAACCCATATCTTCATGGGTCCAACACAAAATTTTATTCCTTCCTTCAAGACAGCAGTAACCCTCACCTCAATCAGTTCTGTGGGAGTCATCACGCCCATGTTGGTGGGGTCCATGCCAAGTGTCTGCAACAAGTTAGGGAGACAAATTCTCATACACTCCCTCAAGAAATATTGGATCGAAATAACCAGCTGACCTTCCATCATGTGCTCGGTGCCTCTATTATCAATGCTTTTCACAGGGTTTGACAAATCAGACATTTCAGGTGGTTAGTTGGGCCACACTGTCAGACAACCATGACAATGTGATAAAGTTTACTGGCCTTAGTGTATCAGGATATTTGTAAAGCTCCTGTTCTTCAATTCCTCTTGTGGATAGTGTTTGAACATTTTATTTCATACAAACAATTGAAAAAACTGCTGAAAGTTCAAAGCTGAACATACTTCACTATTACACAGGCACAGGTAGTCACGTGATCATCTGAGCGATCTGCACGCTTACGGAGATGATTGACAGGTGCTGATGTCGGAGTGGGGTCAGAGATCGGGGTGTGTGTGTGTGTGTGTGTGTGTGTGGTCAGAGGCCAGTAAGATTTGATTCAACTTAGCCTACAGCACGTTTCCACACATGGTCGTAGAAGAAGAGGAGATGTGCATACCGTGAGATAGGATAAGTTTAAAAATTTCTTAACATATTGATGACGCAGTCTGAATGTGAATGAGTGAGGTAAAGTCCACCAAAGGGTGGACTGTCTCACCTCCAGCACCTCCTCTGGCAGCTGCTCCTGGTGGAGGATCAGGGTCAGCTCATCGTTGATATCTGCAACACACAGAGTCACTTTACAGCGACATCAGGTTGGTACACACGCACACCCCATCCCACATACATCCCACACCTGTACAACACAGTGGATGGCACTCACACATTTGGGAAACATTCTGTGTTAAAGTTTTACCACATTCACTCTAATGTCATTCCTAAAGACACACATATATATATAGATATATATATATCAGTTTTAGAGGAAAATGTGGACTATTTTTGTAATGGTTGCTTGCACACGGGTGACTGTCAGACAGCTGATGATACCAGAGCAAGGCAGGTGTTGGGCACTTGGAGGGGCGGTGGGGTAGCCTGGTCGTTAAAGTGTTTGCTCGTCGTGCCAGAGACCCGGGTTCGATTCTCAACATGGGTACAATGTGTGAAGCCCATTTCTGGTGTCCCCTGCCGTGATATTGCTGGAATATTGCTAATAGTGGCATAAAACAAAATTCACTCACTCACGCACTTGGAAGGAGCTTGTATGCACAGTGGACAGTCCAGGGAGACAACTTCTCCATTACTTCTGACACAGAGAGGCAATGTAAGCTGGGAAGATTTCTTTTGTTGTGTTGTGGTCAGTGTTCATATGACAGTTTAAGGTGTTTTAGTGTAATAGAATTGTTAGGAAGTAAACATATCACATTAAAGTGAGTGGTGTCAAATAGATCTTTTATACATTGTGTGACTTAGTGGTCAGAGTGAGTGAGTGAGTGTGTGAATGGAATGCCGTTTTTAGCAATATTCCAGCAATATCACAGCAGGGGACACCAGAAATGAGCTTCACACATTGTACCCATGTGGGGAATCGAACCCGGGCCTTCAGAGTGACAAGAAAATGCTTTAACCATTAGGCTACCCAACCACCCAACTTGATGGTCAGAAGTTCTATTGGTACATCATGAGACACAATCTCACCTTCTACGCTGTCCTCCATGGACTCAGGGTCATCTGCTGCCAGAGCCGCCAGCTTGCTCAGGCTCAGCAGTGTCTGTAACATACCATAGCAACCTGACTTAGATACTGAATCAGCAGGCAGTAACAGGAACAAGTGTTTGCCACTGATATGGCAATGTCCTCCCACCGCTAAAGAATGGAATATTTATAACATATTTACTACTTTTTATTTTTTGGTCACATAAAAGATGCCTGATATGACTGGGGTCTGCATAATCACCCAATGTAGGCTGTCGACATAATTGAAGACATCTGGTGCAATGTTTTATGAGATATCGCATTTACAAATGTTTGAAAAGTGGTCAAAGTGTCGTGGTGACCTTGAAGATAAAGTCAAGGTCACCCAAATCGACTGTTGTCTGGGTAATCCCCCAATGTAGGCTGTCACTAAATTTGAAGATATTGGGTACAACAGCGCATGAGATATCGCGTTAACAACAATCTGAAAAATGTCCAAAGTGTCGTGGTGACCTTGAAGATAAGGTCAAGGTCACCCAAATCGAATGGTGTCTGGGTAATCCCCCAATGTAGGCTGTCACCAAATTTGAAGATATTGGATACAACAGTGCCTGAGATATCACGTTAACAACAATCTGAAAAATGTTCAAAGTGTCGTGGTGACCTTGAAGATAAGGTCAAGGTCACCCAAATCGAATGATGTCTGGGTAATCCCCCAATGTAGGTTGTCACCAAATTTGAAGACATTGGGTACAACAGTTCATGAGATATTGCGTTAACAAGAGTTTGAAAAGTGGTCAAAGTGTCCAGGTGACCTTGAAAATAAGGTCAAGGTTACCTAAATCGAATGGTGTCTGGGTAATCCCCCAATGTAGGCTGTATCCATATTTGAAGACATTCGGTACAACAGTTCATGAGATATCGCATTAACAAGAATCGGACGTACGGACGGACACCGCTGAATACATAGTTCCCCGTTCCCGTTCAACATCATGAGCATTGATCTAAGTAATTGGGATATGATGACATGTGTCAACCATGTCAGCAAGCCTGACCACACGATCCCGCTAGTCGCCTTTTACAACAAGCATGGATTGCTGAACACAAATTCTCACCTGGATCTTCACAGGTTCATATGGAAATATCAGGTATAGTACGGTCAACTGAGCACAATTTGAAACATATAGACCTATTAAAATTACTATCAAAATAGCTTACTTCAAACGAATGCTCTAGTCACTTAAGACATTCTGAAACAGTCCTTGTGTGTACTGGACTCACATTTGCGTGTCATGTAAAACCCTGGGACTCTATACAGCAGTGACAACTTAAGACTGATACATCCACTGCGACATGCGGATCAAGATACACTACCTTTTTCTTTGCTAAGAAGGCTGTTTCTCCTTGAGCCAAACTAAACAATGTTTCATGAGCCTGTAATGACAAAAAATGATAGTAAAAAATGACAGAATTTCACTTATTTTCATTCATTCATTATTTCCTTTCTCAATCACTCATTTACTTACTCATAGCATCTTGACTCCTTTCTTGACTATACCTGTGCTCTTGATGCTTGTTTTCAGAGTTTAAGTAGAATGTTTGTAATCCAGCAGTTTTATAAGAAATACAGTGCTCTCAGTTTAAAATCGTGTTTACAATCTTCTGTGAGCTTGAAATGGCCAGTCCAGTTGGCATATACGGTATAGGAATGAGACATCACTGATAAGAGAGGGGCATAGGAGTAGCCAAGTGGTTAAATCGTTTGCTCATCATGCCCGAAGACCCGTGTTCGATCCCCCACATGGGTGCAATGTGTGAAGCCTATTAGGATAGGAATGCTTTGTCACCAGACGGAAAGCAAACGGGGTTTTTTTAAATTTCTAGAACCTGATAGCCATGGATAAAAACATCAACAGTACCAGGATGTGTTTTCTTTGTTTATCAGTAAACACATCACATTACCCAAATCTTAACCCCTCAGTCACATAGACTTTGACAGTTACCTAATCCAGGGAGGCGTAGATATTTTTAAGATGTTCACATCCCTGATCTGTTACTGACCTTATCGAAGTTGTTGGTACCGATGTCGTGAAGCCAGCTGAGGTACCTTGTGTTGTCAGAGTTCAGGAACTGACTCAGGTCAGCATCGGTGCCAATTGGCTGGGACAAGAGACGGCCTCGCTTGCCTGCAACACACAGGTATATACCACTATCAAACTGCTTCCTAGCCACCACAGACATGACAAACATCAAGGAACACACAGCACTGGGTTAGGAAAGCACATGACAATATTCTAGGAGTTCTTAAAGTGAGCCAAATTAGAACAAGCAGATGCAGCCAATATTTACTAGGAAAATTGAAACGGTACGCTCTTACCATGGTATGTGTTGCGGCACAAGGCCTTCGGTTCGGTCCATTTCGGTTCGGTATATTAGATATGATCATCATGCAGAAAACTGACAAGAGCCTTACATTATTTTTTCATTTTGAATGAACAAAATAGCTTTTAATGTAATATTTTCCAATTTCACAAAGCTGATAGAATGAGAAAGCAAATATTCTATTGACACCATTTTTTATTATTCAACTTAAAAGGTTTGAAAAGATTCCAAACATTAACATGACTTGAGCAACTACACTGACAGTGAATGCTGAGACCATGTTTGACAAAACCCACAAAGATGACCTTGACCCATGGCAGACATGACAGCAACATTTTATGTGATAGAATATATGATGATACATGAAAATATCCATCCCTGTAGAGGACACCATGCTTCTAAACTGACAATGACAATCACATAGCCATGTTGTACCGAATCCTATACCTTTATTATTATTGTAGGATAGGATATTTATGTAGCATACATATCCACACAATTAGAACATGCTCAAGGCGCTGGTTTTTCCCTTGATCATTGGATGTCAATTTCAACGGCACATCGTATTATCAGTCTAAACTCCCTGGGGAGCATATAACTCTTGCAGCCACTAGGTGCACCGAGTTGATGTGACTTTCCCATCTTTACGAGGTAGCCATTGACTGCTGGGACACAGTCACAGAGCTTTGTCAAAGTACACTGCACCTTGCTGTACCCGCAACACGGTGTTTGCACGTATTCATGAATTTTTTATTTTGTCACCTTGATCTTTGACCTTCTCATAGTAGTACACAAAATCGTCTCCAGATACATCTGAATAAATTTATTGAAGGCCATCCTGTTTTATCAATGATCTTTTAACCATTTCCACATAATACATCATCTCACAATTAACTCATTGGTGAACTTGACCTTTGCAATAAATGCAGTTGACATTTAATGTGGTAGGGCGAAAACGTAAATCTCAGAAACTGAATGCTGACTTTGACCTTTGTGTGATGTTAACCAAAAACTTCCAAAGCAGGGCCTAGATTTTCGAAGCTCTCAGAGCACTAAGATAGTCATAAATTAATGTTAATGTATGGCACTTATGACTATCTTAGTGCAAAGAGAGCTTCGAAAATCTAGGCCCAGGACGTTACCCAGGACTACCAGACAACACAAAGACAGGGAAGTCACAGGATGTTTAAATGTCAAACATAACTCATGTGAAATGAGATTGATTTACTAAACCTTTCACGCTTAACATGTTATTTTATCAAATTTGATTGTTATAATTTGTTTTTACAAATATTATCATCAGCCAAGATAAACAGACAGAAGTCAGCCATGAACTTGACCTTGCAGTCTGATGTTTTAGGATGAAGGAGGGCTGTAGAAGGAATGATATCACCACAACCCACCATGAACAAGAACAGTAGAACTACATAAACATAGCTAGGTTTTTGGAAAAGCCCATTGTACCAGTCATAACTTTATTTGCTTCATTAACACGTGACACATGTCATTAGATATGTGGATGTCAATCTGGCAACAGATGTATTCCTGAACACTGCAATGTACATGATATTGACAGGTGTACATGTCAAGTAATCTCCACCATGTTCTCATATGTCACTTCATACTGAACACTGATCTGCTCCATAACTCATCAAGTGATACTGTAACATGCCATGCTTTACATCCATTATTAAATATCCATCACCTATCTTGTTCTTTCAGGACCATAATACACAGAATCACAAATCATGAATGACAGCTATTGTTGTTGATACATAAGGCCACATACAAAACCCACCAGTTACATGTACAGTTCATTGACATGTCATGTTACTGTCTGTTGTACCTATTAGGGATGGATGTATTTGACATGTCATGTTACTGTCTGTATGTACCTATTAGGGGTGGATGTATTTGACATGTCACATTACAGTCTGTATGTACCTATTAGGGGTGGATGTATTTGACATGTCACATTACAGTCTGTATGTACCTATTAGGGGTGGATGTATTTGACATGTCACGTTACAGTCTGTATGTACCTATTAGGGGTGGATGTATTTGACATGTCACATTACAGTCTGTATGTACCTATTAGGGGTGGATGTATTTGACATGTCACGTTACAGTCTGTATGTACCTATTAGGGGTGGATGTATTTGACATGTCACGTTACAGTCTGTATGTACCTATTAGGGGTGGATGTATTTGACATGTCACATTACAGTCTGTATGTACCTATTAGGGGTGGATGTATTTGATATGTCACATTACAGTCTGTATGTACCTATTAGGGGTGGATGTATTTGACATGTCACATTACAGTCTGTATGTACCTATTAGGGGTGGATGTATTTGACATGTCACGTTACAGTCTGTATGTACCTATTAGGGGTGGATGTATTTGACATGTCACATTACAGTCTGTATGTACCTATTAGGGGTGGATGTATTTGACATGTCACGTTACAGTCTGTATGTACCTATTAGGGGTGGATGTATTTGACATGTCACGTTACAGTCTGTATGTACCTATTAGGGATGGATGTATTTGATATGTCACGTTACAGTCTGTATGTACCTATTAGGGGTGGATGTATTTGACATGTCACGTTACTGTCTGTATGTACCTATGAGGGGTGGATGTATTTGACATGTCATGTTACTGTCTGTATGTACCTATTAGGGGTGGATGTATTTGACATGTCACATTACAGTCTGTATGTACCTATGAGGGGTGGATGTATTTGACATGTCACGTTACAGTCTGTATGTACCTATTAGGGGTGGATGTATTTGACGTGTCACGTTACTGTCTGTATGTACCTATTAGGGGTGGATGTATTTGACATGTCATGTTACTGTCTTTATGTACCTATTAGAGATGGATGTATTTGACATGTCACGTTACTGTCTGTATGTACCTCTTAGGGGTGGATGTATTTGACATGTCACGTTACTGTATGTATGTACCTATTAGGGGTGGATGTATTTGACATGTCACGTTACAGTCTGTATGTACCTATTAGGGATGGATGTATTTGACATGTCATGTTACAGTCTGTATGTACCTATTAGGGATGGATGTATCTGACATGTCACGTTACTGTCTGTATGTACCTATTAGGGGTGGATGTATTTGACATGTCATGTTACAGTCTGTATGTACCTATTAGGGGTGGATGTATTTGACATGTCACGTTACTGTCTGTATGTACCTATTAGGGATGTATGTATTTGACATGTCACGTTACTGTATGTATGTACCTATTAGGGGTGGATGTATTTGACATGTCACGTTACAGTCTGTATGTACCTATTAGGGATGGATGTATTTGACATGTCATGTTACTGTCTGTATGTACCTATTAGGGGTGGATGTATTTGACATGTCACATTACAGTCTGTATGTACCTATTAGGGGTGGATGTATTTGACATGTCACGCTACTGTCTGTATGTACCTATTAGGGGTGGATGTATCATGACATCTGTATGTACCTATCGTTACTGTCTGTATGTACCTATTAGGGGTGGATGTATTTGACATGTCACATTAAAGTCTGTATGTACCTATAAGGGGTTGATGTATTTGACATGTCACGTTACGTCTGTATGTACTTATTAGGGGTGGATGTATTTGACATGTCACGTTACATCTGTATGTACTTATTAGGGGTGGATGTATTTGACATGTCACGTTACTGTCTGTATGTACCCATTAGGGATGGATGTATTTGACATGTCACGTTACAGTATGTATGTACCTATTAGGGATGGATGTATTTGACATGTCACGTTACAGTCTGTATGTACCTATAAGGGGTGGATGTATTTGACATGTCACGTTACGTCTGTATGTACTTATTAGGGGTGGATGTATCTGACATGTCATGTTTCTGTCTGTATGTGAGTGAGTGAGTTTAGTTTTATGCTGCACTCAGCAATATTCCAGCTATATGGAGGCAGTCTGTAAATAACTGAGTCTGGAACAGACAATCCAATGATCAACAGCATGAGCATGGATCTACACAATTGGGAACCGATGGCATGAACCAACCAAGTCAGCGAGCCTGACCACCTGCTCCAGTTAGTCGCCTCTTACGACAAGCATGGGTCACTGAAGATCAATACTAACCCGGATCTTCACGTTACTGTCTGTATGTACCAATTAAGGGTGGATGTATTTGACATGTCATTTGGGGTGGATGTATTTGACATTTCATTAGGGGTGGATGTATGTGACATGTCATTAGGGGTGGATGTATTTGACATGTCATCAGGTGTGGATGTATTGGACATGTCATTAGGGGTGGTAGATTTATTGACATGTCATTAGGGGTGGATGTATTTGACATGTCATGTTACTGTGTATGTATTTAACAGGGGTGGATGTATCAGACATATCACATGCAATACAAGCAGCTGATCCCAGTCTATTCCTACTGGGGTTGAGCCCCGTTAAAGTGAAATCACATTGGTTGTCAGTTGGGAGAACTTACCTTCCTTCATGTACCAGTGGAAAAGGAAGTTGGAGAAACCCTGCAAACAACACAGAGAACCATGTACTCATTGCCTTCATAAGATAACATTTCATTTCAGTTGCTCTTCAGGTTTGGTGAACATGTTGACATCCTGCGGACAATTGGTACTGATGGATAATCAGTCATACAGTTAAAGACATCTTTTTATATATATACTGACCAGTAAAAGAAACGCAATTCAAGAAATCAAAACAATTTATTCCACTGATCCAATCCAAACTCAAGCTGAAAAAGTATAATTTCATGAATTCTGAGTTGCGTTTTTATTGCTGGTCAGTATATGTATTAACTTAAAAAAGTAAAATCAAACTTGAACATTGTTAGATCATTCTGGACATGAGTTGGAGTTTAAGTTCTCAGCTATAAACCCAAACCTGTCTGCCATTTTGAAATGAATATAAAAAGCGTCTACAAGTTGTAATATATATTCAATAAGGACTGGGAGACAGACCACACCTGGTAGTTAGGTTGTTGTAAAATCAGATCAATCCAAATCATTATCCAGTTTTATGGAACTGTTATTCAGCTCTATTCTATAACAGTAGAGGGCGGTGCGGTAGCCTAGTGGTTAAAGCGTCCGCTCGTCATGCCAAAGACCCGGGTTCGATTCCCCAAAGACCCGGGTTTGATTCCCCACATGGGCACAATGTGTGAAGTCCTTTTCTCGTGTCCATTGCTGGAATATTGCTAAAATCAGCGTAAAACCGTACTCACTCACTCACTCACTATAACAGTAGAAGAAAGACTGACAGCCAAAATTGGAACTGTTCCCTTTATCTAAATAACTCACACAATGATATCCCTATTCAACCAATCTTTATATAATAACAACATTCTTCTCAGAGTACATATCTACAAATGGATCCTAATAGCTTCATGCCCAGTCAGCATTATCCCCATGAATTGTTGTTGTTGTGATAGTTAGCACTATGTTATAGAGAGTATACCTACCTTGTCTGCAAACTGCTGAGTGTAGCGTTGAAGTCTCTCCTCATTCTTTGTAAGTTCACAGATTTTTACCAAATTTTCAAAATCGAAGTATTTTTCAGCCAGTGTGGCTGCCCTCTCGTACTGTTCATGGTCCACTGAAACAAGTACAACATGGCCATCTTATCCTTACTCCTCCAGAGTAACTCTATATCGGAATGGATCTGATTCAAGATAACCACTATAGAAGACATCAGAACATGCAATAATGTGCCTTCAAGCAAACACATTAAGACATGGAATCCGTCAAATGAACCTACAAGGTCGTCAGTACACCTGACATAATTCTGCAACATGACATAAACCTACACAGTCCTTGGTACACACGACATAAACCTACAAAGTCCCCAGTACACCTGACATGAACCCACAAAGTACCCAGTACACCCGACATGAACCCACAAAGTACCCAGTACACCCGACATGAACCCACACAGTACCCAGTACACCCGGCATGAACCCACAAAGTACCCAGTACACCTGACATGAACCCACATAGACTAAGGCTTAGTCTCTGAATATATATAATTTGGATAGTAACAAACAAGCCCATTTATATTGAAAAGGAGCCCTAGGGAGACCAGAGATTCAAAACCTGAGGAAATCTAGACTTGCTTTATTTAGGGCTTTAGCACTGCAGAGAGGGCTAGGCAGTAGGGAAAATAATGTTGTTCAGGGACTGTGAGACAGACTAGAACCCACACAGTACCCAGTACACCTGACATGAACCCACAAAGTACCCAGTACACCCGACATGAACCCACACAGTACCCAGTACACCTGACATGAAGCCACAAAGTACACCTGACATGAACCCACACAGTATCTAGTACACCTGACATGAACCCACAAGTCTCCAGTACACCTGACATGAAGCCACAAAGTACACCTGACATGAACCCACACAGTATCTAGTACACCCGACATGAACCCACAAGTCTCCAGTACACCTGACATGAACCCACAAATGCCCCAGTACACCCGACACAAACCCACACAGTACCCAGTTCACCCTCCATGAACCCACAAATCCCAACAACAACCTTTGGTACCTAGTCCCTAGTGCACGTTGTATACTGAGAGAAACAAATAAAGGAACACAGGATAATTCAAGTCGTCTTTTAATATTTTCCAGGTTTCATCATCAGCCTTGAACAGCGCTGTGGGAGGATATCTGAGAATGAATAAAGGAACATTGCCATGAAGTGGTGTTCCCTTATTTGTTTCCTTCAGTATATGTATATAGAAGTATAGCATACTTAGAGGGGAGATGAGTTTGTCTCGCTCCTGTTCATATTTGCGATGCAGCTGGTTGTACTGGTCCTGGCGGCGTGGACACTGCTGCAGTGACACCAGCTGACTCTTGTACCCGTCCAGGAGGACGTCGGCAAGCCCTAGTAGCTGCTGGAACAACACACCCTGTGTCTCGATGTCCCGCGCCTCGGGCACCGCGCTCTCTATTGTCAACATGTACTGGAATAGAAAGGAATGTCAGTGGACAACACATCACTGAGTAGCCTGGTACACGTCAATATTCTCAGTACACGTCAATATTCTCAGTACACATCAATATTCTTCAATATTCTCAGTACACATCAATATTCTCAGTACACATCAATATTCTCAGTACACGTCAATATTCTCAGTACACGTCAATATTCTTCAATATTCTCAGTACACGTCAATATTCTCAGTACACGTCAATATTCTCAGTACACTATTCTCAGTACACGTCAATATTCTCAGTACACGTCAATATTCTCAGTACACATCAATATTCTCAGTACACATCAATATTCTCAGTACACGTCAATATTCTCAGTACACGTCAACACTCTGACTCAGGTTTGAAATTAGAAACAAAAAATATCTGGATCTATATAAGCTTGGCCAGAGGACGATATTCAGCCCCAGATGTCTGCAGCAAACATCACTTGGAAAATGCCCAATTCAGCTAATGACCAATGTGATGGCTCAGTCGAAGCGACTTGTATTTCACTGGTAACAGGACCAAGAAGTAGCTTTAATAATTAATTTTACACTACTGAAATGATTACCATCTTAAAACACGAAAAAGAAGCCTTTGAAATTAGGAAATATGAAGAAAAACATTTTCCTCACAATTTTCCTGCAAATGATTTTAGTTTAAGATCACTGATGTCAATACTGACACATCTTTATTAATCTCTGACATGAATCAAACAGCATTGATATTCACGGAACTTGCAGGTTTGATCTGTGAGGACACTGACCTGTCTGGTGAGCATGGTGCGGATGCCGCGACTGCCGCCTGCTGAAGTCCAGGGTATGTACTCCAGCTGTCTGTCTGACCCCCCCTGGAACACTCCAGCCCGGGACTGACGGTACTGTAGACCACTGTGCAGCAAACCCTGTCACACAAAAAAGTCAAATCTTAGCTTGCATACTGGTGGACAGATGAAATAACTGACGCATACTGAGAGGTTCTATTTCAATACATGAACTTGGCACCTTGCAGTCTTTCTCATCGTTTCTCATATTGCAGATCGAAATATAAATAACAAACATGTAAACTAACATTTAAACTTTATTACATTTTTACAATTAATGGAAAATGGCAAAATACCGAATTGAGTTTTAAGTGAGATGGGTACAATTTATTTGGTTACTCAAAGGAAAATTGAAATGAACACAAGCGAGTACATAACTCAATGACCCAAAAAGTTATCTGTAGCTCTGTAAAGGACAGGTACATACCTCCAATATTCCATTGACTGAGGACACTATCATCACACACTGTTTCGGAGACTGATCTGACGACAGGCTCTCATCTTCATATTCAAGCAATGCTGAGACTACTTCTGGGATCCTGGATACCTAGATTAGGAAAATGTATACCTGAGACAGCACAATTATTTTAAACACAACATTAGAAACAAACGCAACCAGTAGTCCAAAGCATTCTCTGTGGTGCGGGACAGTGGATTGTGGATTTGGTTGGTTGCTTGTTTCACGCCGCACTCAGCAATGTTCCAGCTACATGGCGGCGGTCTGGAAATAATCCAGTCTGGACCAGACAATCCAGTGATCAACAACATCAGCATCGACCTAGGCAATTGGGATACGATGACATGTTTCAACCAAGTCAGTGAGGTTGACCAACCAATCCCCTTAGTCGACTCTTACGACAAGCATGGGTTGCTGGAGACCAATTCTAACCCGGATCTTCACAGGTCCTGGACTAGTGGAAGAAACTTAAGGAAATGTCGAATGACATATTATCTTATCATAAAGATAGGTCAGGGGTTTGCATCTACAATTAAAACAGATATCAAATTCATTTAATTGTCAACTTTGATTCAGTGTAATAAATCTCCATACTAGTTTGATAAATAGTCCAGAGCATTTGTTACCAAAGGTTGTTGTTGGGACTTTGTGCATTCATGTTGGGTGTACTGGGGACTTTGTGGGTTCATGTTGGGTGTACTGGGGACTTTGTGGGTTCATGTTGGGTGTACTGGGGACTTTGTGGCTTCATGTCAGGTGTACTGGGGAATTTGTGGGTTCATGTTGGGTGTACTGGGGACTTTGTGGGTTCATGTCAGGTGTACTGGGGAATTTGTGGGTTCATGTTCATGTACTGGGGACTTTGTGGGTTCATGTCAGGTGTACTGGGGACTTTGTGGGATTCATGCTGGGACTTTGTGGCTTCATGTCAGGTGTACTGGGGACTGTGTGGGTTCATGTTAAGGTGTACTGGGGACTTTGTGGGTTCATGTCTGTACTGGGGACTTTGTGGGTTCATGTGGGTTCATGGGTGTACTGGGGACTTTGTGGGTTCATGTTGGGTGTACTGGGGACTTTGTGGGTTCATGTTGGGTGTACTGGGGACTTTGGGGTTCATGTTGGGTGTACTGGGGACTTTGTTCATGGCTTCACTGTTGGGTGTACTGGGGACTTTGTGGGTTCATGTTGGGTGTACTGGGGACTTTGTGGGTTCATGTCAGGGTGTACTGGGGACTTTGTGGGTTCATGTCAGGTGTACTTTTGGGACTTTGTGGGTTCATGTGGGTGTACTGTGTGGGTTCACTTTGTGGGTTCATGTTAGGTGTACTGGGGACTTTGTGGGTTCATGTCCTAGGTGTACTGGGGACTTTGTGGGTTCATGTTGGGTGTACTGGGGACTTTGTGGGTTCATGTCAGGTGTACTGGGGACTTTGTGGGTTCATGTCAGGTGTACTGGGGACTTTGTGGGTTCATGTCAGGTGTACTGGGGACTTTGTGGGTTCATGTCAGGTGTACTGGGGACTTTGTGGGTTCATGTTGGGTGTACTGGGGACTTTGTGGGTTCATGTTGGGTGTACTGGGGACTTTGTGGCTTCATGTTGGGTGTACTGTTGGGTGTACTGGGGACTTTGTGGCTTCATGTCGGGTGTACTGGGGACTTTGTGGCTTCATGTCAGGTGTACTGGGGACTTTGTGGCTTCATGTCGGGTGTACTGGGGACTTTGTGGGTTCATGTCAGGTGTACTGGGGACTTTGTAGGTTCATGTTGGGTGTCGTGCAGTAAAGGACTGGTGCTATTGTGGCATGTTTTCAAGAAAGCCCAATGTGTCCATGCATGGTCTATTTTTGCATCATTCCAACTAGACTAAAAATGAAGGAATGGTGCTGAATATGGGATGAAGATAAACTTCTTCTAATAATTATCCGGTATGACTGAGATACTACTTGGTGAACAACTCCCTATACTTCATGTTTTGCATGTTCTATTTTTGCATCATTTCAACCAAACTAAAAATGAAGAAATGGTGGTGAATATGAAGATAAACTTCTTCTCATAATAATCCAGTATGACTGAGATGCTACTTGGTGAACAACTCCCTATACTACCAACCTCTCTGTAGAAGACGTCAGCCGGGGAAAGGCCAGCAGGAATGTTTGCATCTCGCATAGACTCCAACACTCGTCGGATACAGTTGTCTACGATCACACTTTGGCTGGACATCAACAAAAAGATCACATAAACATCCGCCATTTCATTAGACAGCAACCACCATGAGTACTGCAGTTTACAGATTATGAAGTCAACAGTTTAAAATGTCAACAAAGATAAAAAAAACAAACCGCTCAGCATTAATCACACGATAACATTCAAATATATTCGAACTAACCTGTAGAGGTTTCAGATTCTTTGAATATATTCCTCCTTGGGGTACTTATAAGCATTTAAATGTCCATTTAAATTCCCTACGACAGTTGTAACAATATTTGAATAAAAATATTTACAAAACAAAAACTACGTTTTGTCTTGTGAGACCACCCTTACAGGGCCCTCCGGCCCCCTACAGCCAAGAGCAGGTAACTCTAGACCGTAACCTCGTACCTCACTTTCCATGCTGAACGACGTCAGACAGAATGTGGGGAGGTGGGCGGGCGTACCCCAAGGAGGAATATATTCAAAGAATCTGAAACCTCTACAGGTTAGTTCGATTCTTTTTTATATATTCCTCCTTGGGGTACTTATAAGCATAAGACAGACTCCTAAAGTAGAGCTAAGGAGCGGCATTCTGTCCGCAGAAACCACCCCCGACAAGAAGTGTAATTTCCCAAGCTAAATATAGCAGAAAAAGCACACTTACCCGGTCACGTGTCCACCATAGCCAATCAGGCGGGGGCATAGGGTCGAACCCTATGTAAATTGCCCAGCGAAACCTCACTAATGCAAACTAACGAGACACACCCTCCCTCCCTCCCGTAATCTACTCGGAAGCGAAGATAAGGGTCCCGCAATAAGCCGCCAGAAACGAAATGCCTTAATATATATATATTTAGCAAAGTTTCCAAGGCCAGTTAAGTCTAGAGCAGAATGCAAAAGACATGGGAATAAAAACCATCACCACATAAAACCCGTCACCAAGGGAATATGTGAACAAGATTTTTAAAACCCAACACCAGTGTTAAAAAATTTGGCATAGAATGGTTCACATAATAAAATCCTCGAAAGCTCAATCGGCTAGAGAGGTGGAACCATGCCCACTGGAGAGAACTGACTGACCGAACCGAGCACGCTCACTGGAGAGTCTGTCAAGTTGGTAATGACGGATGAACGTACTCGGACGGCTCCAAATAGCCGCGGAGCAGATCTCCTCAATGGGCAGGGCTGCAGCGTAAGCTTTCGATGTAGCAACTGCCCTAACCGAATGAGCTTTCAACCCTACAGGCGGGATACGCCCTGTTTGAGTATAGCTCATATGTATGGCAGAGACAAGCCACCGAGAAATGGTTGGCTTGGTCGCCGGAAGACCAGCCTGAACCCCGCCATAACAACAAAACAATTGGTTACCCTTACGGGTACCCCTTGTTCATTTGATATAAGCCTTAAGTGTCTTACGGACATCTAAGACGTGAGCACGTCGTAGAGAGGTACCGGACAGGGAAGGCTGAGTGAAAGCTGGGAGCTCAATAGGCGCCGTCACATGGAAGGGACTATCCTTCTTAGGACGGTAAGTATCAGGCAGCCGTATGCTAACTCTGTCTTTGTGAAAAACAGTAAGCGGGATCGGCCGACATTGCGTGAATATCGCCAACCCGCCTGCCTGAAGTCACCGCCACAAGAAACGCCGTCTTCCACGTCAACAGCTGGAGTGAAAGAGCCGACAGATTGTGAAACAGTGGACCGGACAGCCAATCAAGAACGATTGACAAGTCCCACGGGGGACTAATCCGCCGGACAACCGGACGGATTCTGTCCACGCCTGCTAAAAAGCGCTGCACAAGAGGGTGCTGCCCCAAGAGAGCACCGTCAACAGGAATATGAAACGCAGAAATAGCCATAGAATATCCTCGAACAGTTGAAGCCGCTAGACCGGCATCCAACCGAGACTGGAGGAATTCTAAAACAGAGACTAAATCTGTAGAAAAGGGATCAAGAATCCCCCTGTTGACACACCAGCGCGAATAACAGGCCCATCTATCCTCATATTGAGCGTTTGTCCGAATCCCTCCATGAAGCCAGAATTGTGTCTGCAACTGGTGCAGGAATTCCCCTCGCCTGCGACGGAGGCGATCCCTGACAGCGGCCAAGCCACCCACTGAATCCTGGGATTGGTGGGGCGCTCCGTTCTGGGATAGGAGGTCCGGTCGAAAAGGTAATAGAACAGGAGGCTGAGCCAGAAACCTGAGAGATACGGAAACCAGCGTTATTGCCGACCAAAGGGGTGCCAGAAGCACAAGTAGCCGAGCTGGTTGTGCGGTCAGCTGTGACAGGACCCTGGAAATCAGTGGTATCGGGGAGCGCCCACAGTACCCTGTCCGTCCAATCGAGCTGAAAGCGTGCGTTGGCTAAGCTCGGATCGAATCGAGAGCAAAACACAGGAATCTGGTTCGTCACCCCAGGCGCAAACAGATCCACCTGGAATGACCGAACAACTGGGAGATAATCCGAATATCTCCCGGTCGAGCATCCACTCTTGTGGGGCTAGTATCGCCCGTGAGAGTGCATCTGCACGGACGTTGTCTACCCGGGGAGATAAACAGGCAAAACCCGAATGCTGAACTGATCGCACCACAGTAGAAACTGCCACGCCTCCTGAAGGAGCGGCGGAGACACTGTGCCGCCTTGCTTGAGAATGTAAGACATGGCGTTTGATTGTCCATTTCTAGGCGAACCACACGGCCCTGCACCAACACCGGAAGCACTTTCGAACACCCTGCGGACTGCTCTCAGTTCTAACACATTGATGTGTAGGCTGACTTCCTGCTCCGACCAGAGGCGGAGGCTGAGTGCTCGCCATGGACCCCCCCCAACCTGTGAGGGAGGCGTCCGTCTGAACTGAGAGGGAAGGTGTCGAGGTGTCTAGGGGATCCCCTGGACAAATTCCGGCGTCCGTCCACCATCGCAAGTGAGGAATTAACCACTTTCGGCGTCGTGAGAATAATCTACGTAGCTCTGCGAGTGGGACCACAGCTGAGCTAACAGCTTGCTGAACTGGTCGCATCCTCAGGCAGCGCCGCCAAACCATGTCCTCTGTCGCCGCCATGTTGCCTAGCAACCGAAGCCATGTTCGGGCCGACGCATTGGGCGACTGGAGAAACTGTAACACAGTCCTCTGGACTTTGACGATGCGGTCCGGAGCAAGGGAAACAATCCCTAGCTCCGTGTTGAATCTGGCCCCCAAGAAAATCAGATCCTGCGTCGGAACGAGGTCTGATTTCTTGAGGTTGATAATCCAGCCCAGTGACACCAGAGTATCCATCACGCACAGTGTGGAGGCTCTGCTTAACTGAGGACCTAAGGCCCTGAGAAGCCAATCGTCCAGTTACGGGTGACAACACCTGCCCTGAGACCTGGCTAACTGAGCTGGGATTAGCATAAGTTTGGTGAACACCCTTGGCGTCGTGGAGATGCCGAAGGGGAGCACACGAAACTGGTAGCACGTCCCGTCGAAGGAGAACGGAGGTACTTCTTGAACTTCGGGGTGCATTGGAACATGGAGGTATCGTCTTTGAGATCGATTGGCGTAAGCCAATCCCCTGTCTCGGCGGAGGAGATCACTGACCTGAGTGTCTCCATCCTGAAAGACGGCACCTCCAGTAACTGGTTCAACCCTCTGAGATTCAGAATGGGTCTGAACCCTCCGTCCTTTTTGGTCACTAGGAAGTAGGTGGAATAAAACCCCTCTCCTTGCTGACCCACAGGAACCACCTGCCTTGGCTGCCCGATGGCTGCCTTGTTCAGTAAGGACTGAACTTTGGCACGGAGCGCGTCCGCCTTGTCGCGGGAGGTCGGCACAGGTGTGTGCCGAACCCGAGAAGGACGGAGGATCTCGCCTCCACTGTGGCAAATGGCCATCCCTGAGCGTGGACAGGACCCAGGGATTTGAGGTGGCTGCCTCCCACTCCCGGAGGAATAGGGACAACCGGCCGCCGACAGGGACGTGTGGCATGAGGCAGTGCACCCCCACAGTCGGCAAGTCTCCGCTTGCGTGAGTGGGGACAATAAGGGCTCTGGGGAAGGAATCAGCGGGAAGCGGGGCTGGCTTCCCCTGCCCGAAAAGGCTGCTGCGCTTGAGCAGGCCTGCCCTTGCCTCTTCTAGCGGCGCCTGCTCGCTTGGACTGCAAAGGGGCAGTCCACTTTGCAGCGTCCTTCGCCCGGGGCAGAAGGATAAGCGGAGCGGCGGGGGGGAAGGCGGTGGCGAGGCGGAGGGAGGGCTGCTCCAACAAAGGCTTAGAGTCTTTGAAGGTAGAAACTGCCTCCAGCGGCCTCCCGTAGACAACCTGCAATGCCCCAGGGAACAGGGAGGACCCCATGGTATAAGGCAATGACAGGAGCCTGTTGCGTGGCGGTGAATACCGCAGCGCCACGGACAACCACAGGCGGCGCAAGCCCATCCGGGCACCCATCATCTGGCTGGCACAGCACGAATGCTATCCCGAGCCAGATGAGAGTGTACCCCGTGAGCTGCAGCTGAGCACCCGGCGCCCGACAAGTCGGCGTCACAAGCGCTCTGATCCACCAGCTGTCCCTGCAGAGCAGACAGGTAGGCTGAGTGGACTGCCACTTTTAATTGCTGGGCTGCGCGCGGTAGCACTCCTCGAAGGACGATGCGCAGACTTCAGCGTAAGTGAATTAGTAGGAAAAGGGGGCGCCTGCCCTGCCTGGCGAGGCCAGGGAAGGCGAGGGCGACCCCCTAGGTGAAGGACGCAAAGGCGCGCTCGTCCACCACTGGCGGCTCGAACAGCGCCTCCTCTCCCAACTGGTACCGCTTGCGGCGTCGGGGCAAATCAAACCGCGTCGCGGGCACCAGTCAAGAGAGGATTGACCACCTCACTCACCAGTGATGGCAGAATGCGGGGCGTGCCTCGGCGACCCGGCTAAGGCGCGAAAGCCTCCCGGGGAGCGAAACTCCGCGAGGGTCGGGCCCTGTGCGGTAACGGCCACCTGGGGCAGGGCCCGGCGATCTTATCCCGAACCTGCCGCAGAGACGCGAGCGAAAGG